CAACAACCCCAACAACACCAACAACACCACCACCACCACCACCAACAACAACAACAACAACAGCAACAACAACGACGACGACGACGACGACGACGACGACAACAACAACAACAACACCAACACAGAGCTAAAACCACACAGGCGCCTCCCCAAAAGCGTGCACCATCATACACCGGAGACGTCTACAACAAACCACGCAGCCAAGGTGGTTCGGAAGCTTCTCGTTGCAATTATCTTGACAAGGACTGCTGCTCCCCACTTGCATCCACGGCGAGAGCTATGAGGTCGCAGCCGACCGTTCTACACCGGTTTCGTGGGGGCCGTGGCAAGCCCGCAAATTCAAACATGTCCCTAACTTAATTGGCACGGTGCCAAAGTGCAGTCAAGACTAAAACGGAAAGTTTCCCCAATCCACAGTTGTTACAACTCTCGTCAGTCAGTCGCACCTGCGACCCCAAGCCAGAATGGCTGGAGATGCGGCGAGCATCCAGCACCTCAGCCACATGCCGGAATGCGTAACATCGCAGCCCTCACCTTCAGCTGCAAAAACATCGACCTTCATCGAGCCCTGAGTACTGCGGCCGCAGCCCTGTTTAGCGTCCCGGAAAGTGCTAGCCGGGCAAAATCAAAATGTCATGGCAGAGAACGTCAGATTAAGTGGCAGTAATGTGAAAACCAATACATACATACTGCAGGAGAACCGTCGGTACATCCAGTATGCGAAGGAGAAAATTTGAACACCTGGCAACAACTCAAGACGACTCCCCACACGGCCGCTGGGTCCAGGCACGAGGAAAGGTTCACACTACGAATATAGTCTGATACTGGTCGAGATTCGGATTCAAGCGCCCTCCGAAACACCATGAAACACCCAGGAATCTGCGAGGCCTTGCGGGTCTCCAGCAATGGTGTATTGGGCAAAGTTGGCGCATTCCTGCCCATGGAATATGCGCAGCACAAGTCTGCAATTTTTGGCAAGACATGTTTGAGCAGGATAGAGCAAGAGGCCGTGATTCGTTTGAGGAAAAGCAACACACAAAAGGCCTGACCAACGAAACACGATCCATGTTGGGCTCCATCGGCCTTATTGCAAGAAGGAGGTTCTTCAAAGGTGTCCAATATACTGAAGTGAACACAGCTTGAGGAAAAGGTTCCGGCATGGTAGCAGCAACTGCACATCCCAGCCAGTGTGGTTTCGCATGGATCTGAATATCTAGCCAGGGGGCATCAAGCATCGCTGGCTCGCTTGGGGATGGGTCTTCCGGACTATGAGTTGCAGCTACGCTCCCTGAGTGGAGACTCCAGTTCCAGGGAGGAGACCCAATTCCCTTTAAAACGTCTAGCCCAGCTGCTCGCCAGGACTGGCTTCTGGCCGATCTGACCTAGCCACCAAAGTCGGAGTCGGAGTAGGAATAAGAGTAGGACTAGTAGTCGAAGTGGAAGTAGGAGAAGTAGAAGAAGAAGTAGTAGTAGTAGGTAGTAGGTAGTAGGTAGTAGGTGTAGTAGTAGTAGTAGAAGAAGAAGAAGTAGTAGCAGTAGTAGTAGTAGTAGTAGTAGTAGTAGTAGTAAGTAGTAGTCGTCGTCGTCGCCGCCGTCGTCGTCGCAGTAGCAGTAGCAGCAGCAGCAGGAGGAGTAGTAGTAGTAGTAGTAGTAGCAGCAGTGGTCGTCGTCGTCGTAGTAGTAGCAGTAGTAGGTAGCGTAATACTATTACTAATACGCATTACTGATTCTGCTTGACTACTAGTCCTAATACTACTGCTTCTAATTTAAAACTAGTCCTAATGCTACCAACACCAGCACCACCACGACGACGACCACTGCCACTACTGCTGCTGCTGCTGCCGCCACTGCCGCTGCCGCTGCCGCTGCCGCTGCCGCTCCCGCTCCTGCTGCTACTGCT